ATATAATCAAATTGGTTAATTTAACTATGAAATTGGAACTTTGTGAATAATGAGTGTCCCAGCTCTGTGTGCACAAATTTTGTGTGGGCCTACTAATGGGTTTTGTGTTTAAATTAGAGTGTTTTCACACTCGGTTTTGATGGCGGGGTCCAATTTAACTGTTGCTCCCTCCTGCTATCCCTGCATGTCTCTCTTTTTATTGTATAATTAGGAATCAATCACCAAGCAAACAAACCAAACTCTGACTTTGCACCAAATGCTTGTGTAAAATAAGACTTAAAGATTGACCTTATTAACGTGTACATGCAGACAAGTGTGTGTACCTGTATGTTTTTCTCACAGTTTGTCTGATGGTGTAGCAGCAACTCGCTCTCCAGTAAAAAGCGCTTGCCGCATTTATTGCAGATCTGCATGCGGTTGTGGGTGACGTTCATGTGCTTCTCCAAGTACCAGCGGTTGTTGAAAACACGAGGGCACTTTTTGCAGGAAAAGTGCTGCTTTTCTTCGAGCTTCACCTTCTGTCCCAGACTCTCCTGCTCTTTACTCCTCTTCCTCCCCTCCCTTAGTGTCGTGTCATTTAGCGTCGGTCTCATGGCGATGGTGTCCATGGCACGCCGTCTTTCCACGCTGGTCCGTCCTGTTTCTGGAATGTCGAGATTATTCTCTTCTTCATCCTCATCGTCCTCGTCATCGCTGCAATTTTCCATCCCTTCCTTTCTGTGTTCATACTCTTCTTCTTCGTCCTCACCAACATCTTCATTATCATCCTGTTCCTTACCCTCCACCGCATTGGGAAGATTGGCGTGACGGTTAACGAGGAAGGATGAGGTACTTAAGGTGACGCCCTTGCCGTCAGACCCTTTAGAAACATTCAAAGTCTGGTTGTTGAGATTGACCTCCACAATAATCTGCTCTCTGTTAAAGGAGACAGAACTATCCTGGGATCCCACTTCATTTAGACCGACTCCTCCCTCCATTGTGCATAAGCCCCGCCCTCCTCCGTTAGCCACTCCCCCTCCAATGCCATCTTTTTTGTAGAACTGTTTGGCTCGAGGGCTGGAGTGGACGCTAGATGAGTGTGTCTGCGTAACTTCCCTACTGACACCACTGCCCTCTACAGTTTTTGAAAGAAGTCTCTTATGCTCACTAAAGTTGCATTTATTTGATCAGAAATACAATAAAACAGTAATATAGTGAAATATTATTACAATTAAAAATTTATTTTCTATTGAAATATATTTTAAAATGTAATTTATTCTTGCGATAGCAAAGCTATCAGTTAACTTTTATTTTATTTCAAGTAACAAAAATGTTTTTTTTTTATATAGTTTTAATTGTAGCTCCAGTTTTAGTTTAGTTAAATATAATAACTCTGATGGACATAAAAAAAAAATAAAAAATATATATATATATATATAAGTAAAAAGCGCTTGCCGCATTTATTGCAGATCTGCATGCGGTTGTGGGTGACGTTCATGTGCTTCTCCAAGTACCAGCGGTTGTTGAAAACACGAGGGCACTTTTTGCAGGAAAAGTGCTGCTTTTCTTCGAGCTTCACCTTCTGTCCCAGACTCTCCTGCTCTTTACTCCTCTTCCTCCCCTCCCTTAGTGTCGTGTCATTTAGCGTCGGTCTCATGGCGATGGTGTCCATGGCACGCCGTCTTTCCACGCTGGTCCGTCCTGTTTCTGGAATGTCGAGATTATTCTCTTCTTCATCCTCATCGTCCTCGTCATCGCTGCAATTTTCCATCCCTTCCTTTCTGTGTTCATACTCTTCTTCTTCGTCCTCACCAACATCTTCATTATCATCCTGTTCCTTACCCTCCACCGCATTGGGAAGATTGGCGTGACGGTTAACGAGGAAGGATGAGGTACTTAAGGTGACGCCCTTGCCGTCAGACCCTTTAGAAACATTCAAAGTCTGGTTGTTGAGATTGACCTCCACAATAATCTGCTCTCTGTTAAAGGAGACAGAACTATCCTGGGATCCCACTTCATTTAGACCGACTCCTCCCTCCATTGTGCATAAGCCCCGCCCTCCTCCGTTAGCCACTCCCCCTCCAATGCCATCTTTTTTGTAGAACTGTTTGGCTCGAGGGCTGGAGTGGACGCTAGATGAGTGTGTCTGCGTAACTTCCCTACTGACACCACTGCCCTCTACAAGCAAAGAGAATGTACCATTTCCTTGTGTGTACATCTTCTCAAGCTCCTTCATCTTGTACATCTGACTGAACGAGACATTGCCTTGCCTGTCTGTGTCTGCCATCTCATTGGACCCAAGTAGCTTGTGGCAGGAACTCATTTGGAGCACAATGGCCACCTGTAGGACTTCAAAGATGGAAATATAGATATAGATATAGATGAAGCTGAGGATTTGGATACTCAGCACCTCAAAGGCCAGGTTTATGCGGTGCAGTGGTTGACTCTGGGAGAGGAGGGCCTGAAAGTAGGGGATGTGGTCACCCAGCACGTCCTTGTGGGAGGAAAACGTACGGTGGGACACCAGCACGAGGTCCACGTCGCTCAGGTGAGGCTGGTAGAGATGCCTGTCCATTAAACAAGTGAAGTGCAGCGCTGCATCCTCCAGCAGAAAGAACTCAGCAGTAGTCCTCTCCACTAGGAGAGAAGACAGGAGAAAATATATATCAATCTTACAATTCATTAGCAAATTTACAAATGAACAGAACAATTACGACGTATATCCACCTGGAAAAGAGGACAAGAATAAACATTTTAACTAGTAACTAGATTTGCATTTCTAGAATGAAGTGCTTGCAAGGCGGTAAATGCAACAAGCAAAATTGCGCATTTTGCAATAATATGACTTAGAATAACTATTTTAATGTGTTTTTATTTTTGGCTATTAACAGTCTGATTTATAGCATTCAATTCATATCTCTGATTCAATGACTAATTTGTGCCACCATTACAAAAATGTCAAATTATTTATATACTATTTTAATATTTATTAATATTTTGAATGTTTTATTTTTAGATTTTCAGTTTTCATTTCATAATTTAGTTTTAGTAATTTTGTTATGTGCTTTTGTCATTTTTTGTTTTTGTTTAATATTTTTATTTAGTTTTTTTTTGTTTTAGCAATTTTAGTACTTCAGCTTTTCATATCTAATTGTTTTTTTTTTGTTTTAAAGTAAGTTTGTCAATATTTAGATTTTATTTCAATTAACATATTTGTTTACATTTTTAATAGAAATAACAACACTGGCTAATGTAAATCTTTATAAATCTTCATGCAAGTACAAAATATAGGAAAATATTGCTGTTTATTATTTATATTGGTAAATATAAGTACAAATGATTAAATTCCTTGTCTTCATTATTCCAAAACTGTGGAAAATATGATTCATATGATTATTGTTAACTAGATTGTTTGCTGTATTTTAATACATTAAACATTTTGTTTGTACTTGTTTTAGTATTTGGTATCTACTTGTCAAAAAAGGTGGTTTGGTTGAAATGATGTTTCTTCCAATTTGAAATGATTATTTTAAGCCATTTCAGAGCAAAATATTGATGTATATATACAGTTTATAGTTTAAAGGGGTCATATGATGCGATTTAAATTTTTCCTTTCTCTTTGAAGCGTTACAAGCTCTTGGTGCATAAAGAAGATCTGTAAAGTTGCAAAGACTAAAGTCTCAAATCCAAAGAGATATTCTTCATAAAAGTTAAGAGTCAACCACGCCTACCTAAAACGGCTCGTTCTAACACGCCCCCACATACCTACGTCACGATGTGGGAAGATTTGCATAACGCCGCCCAAATGTTCACGCAAAGAAAGAAGGCGTAACTTTTATTCTCGCTGTAGTATTGTTGCTGCCGCCATGTCGTGAAGGCGCTGTGTTCTTTTTAGCAACATCATATGACCCCTTTAAAAATATATCTTTTTAGTTATAACACCACCCCTAGAAATAATTAACATTAAAGCAACACTCTATAAAGTTTGACAAAAACCATCAGAACACATAATAATACATTTCTGCACAGAAGTTTATTTCATTCACAGCAGCCTTGAAAACAATATCAAACACTGCCCATCTGAGAGTGAGAAAGGCAGAAGCTACTGGAGCATGCCGCTATGCCCTCCCCTTCTGCTCCCAAGGTTGGCTTATTTTAGATCAGGAAGGACGAGGTTTCGATCTGGACAGCATCTCTTTAAAAACTCCACAGAGGAAAAGGAAAGGGACAGAGAGGCAGCAAGTGAAAAGAGAAAAAGACAAACCAAGTGAGAGGACAGAAGAAGAAGCATGTAAAAAGCACATTGATATTCAAAGCCGTGCGCTAACCATTAGCTTCCAAGCTCCATTAGAGTTATCATTATGCACAAGACAAAACACTGGCCAGTAAACAATTAAAGAGAGCAAGGACAGTAAATATCAGACTCTCCAAACAATTATACAGATTAGTTTAGCTGACTTTTATGTGACTAACAACAAGCAGAATTACCAGTCTTACTTTTTATCTCCGTAAACAAAGTTTGTTTTCAGAAGCCATTATAAGTCCAATCGATCTTGTTAATTGTCACCCAAAATTACACAGAATTGACAGAATAAACTTATTTAAAATACACTCACATCCATCCACATATGTACTCACTGTGTCCAAACCAATACACGTAAAAATCATTCTGGAAAAAAGATGGATGCACCAAATTGACGTATTTGCCTGGCCTAGTGCAAAACATGTTTGTTTTTTTTTTTAAGTATTTAAACCTGGAAATATATTGTAATCGGATAATGAGGGAGATATGGCTGACTGACTAAAGAGTGCAAATGTAGTTCAAAATGCACTTAATTTGTGACATTTTGTCTATTTGGAGGTGGATTATTATTGGGATAGAGTAAAACCCTACAGCTAAACACAAATCAAAAGTCACCAAACCTAGTTCAGAAGCTTTCATGCAGTTCATTTGGATAAATAAAATCCTTTAGTGCCACTAGGAATAATTGAAAAGAGATAAGGGGTTGTTTTTCCAAAACAATACCTAGTCAGCTGTATCAAATTCAAAACTGGCAATATGAAACATTTCTGAAAGACATTAAACTGGTTTGAGCTGTCGCACAGCGGTTAGTGAGTTTGCACTTAGTGCATGCCGTGCTCTCTCCTCAAGAATTTCCTGTCACTCTCTACTACATCTGTGGAATAAAAAGAGACAAAATCCCCCAAAATAAACTGACGTGAATGTATATAAATGACAGATTTATGATTAATTATCATATAAATATGATTTATGATTATGATTAATGATAAATTTTATATATGAAAATATTGTCTTCAACTTTCAGCACAATTTAGGCAAACTGGGAAGCATATTCATTTGCTCTTTCCGTTTGAAAATTGAGACTAGATGAAATCATGTTCACTGGCATCACTGAAATTAAATAAAAGAGTGCAAACAAATGTCTTGGCTATATGACGTAAGAATTAAAATCAATCGTTGTTTTTGAAAGAATTCTCTTATGCTCACCCAGGCTGCATTTATTTGATCAAATGCAATAGAAAAGGTAATATTGTGAAAACTTCTATTGTTTTCTATTTTAATATATTTTTAAATGTAATTTATTCCTGTGATGCAAAGCTGAATTTTCAGTATCATTACTCCAGTCTTTAGTGTCACATGATCCTTCAGAAATCATTCTAACCCGCTGATTTGACGCTTAAGAGACACTTTTTATTATTATCAATTATTATCAATGTTAAAAACTGCTTAATAATTTTGTGGAAACCATGTTAGATTTTTTTCAGGATTCTTTGATGAATAGAAAGTTCAAAAGAACAGTGTTTATTTAAAATAAAAACATCTTGTAACATCATAAAAGACTCCAACTTTTGAATGTCAGTGTATATGAAATATGAAGTGAATTTAGGTTTCACAACATGATAATGAATGCTCCTCATTCTGGTTCCTAAAGCTGAACTCATTGTAGCGCAGCATACTGCTTTCATGTAATAAGAGGTGACTCAGGGCTGCTGGCCAGGCCGGCTGGTATGCACTTGGCCGAGGACGTTCACCACAGTGCCAGGCAGCAGAGAGCAGAGCGGTGGGGGGAAAGAGATCTACCCTCAGTTGACTTTCACTTCTGCGGTCTTTACTGCACTGTTTACCACACCTCCCAAATTGGGCCACTGTTTCTGCTGATATGTCTTCAGAGAGATTTTAAATGCTCCTTTTTCCCTTTCAGATGGAGAGCAAGAATGAAAATGACGGAATTCTACTAAATAACATCACCAGCGGACTTTCTTGTTTTCTCATCCAATGAAAATATATTTCAGATTAGTTACTTTTTCTCTTTCTTTCTTTCTTTTTTTTTTTAAAGAAATGAATACATTTATTCAGTAAGGATGTTAAAGGCACAGTATGTAAGTTTTCACCGCTAGAGGGCACGTATTCAAAACAAACAAAGAAACAAAGGCGTAGTTTGATGACTCCGTGAATGAGCTAATGTATTAAAGATTTATTAACGTCATAGTATGAAGTAGGGTGAGGCAGAAAGCCGCCAAAGCGAAACGAGGCCGCTGAACGAGCGCGACACATGGCTCGAAAGCAGCGGAGCTTTTATTATGCCACAGTCGACGGCTTCCGCTCCTTCCGGTCGTGCGTATGTGGGGTAAAGCAGCGCTGTTTTATCATACTAGATACATTTGAAAGTTCTGTTATAATGCTACTCTGTGCGGTCATCACCGGTCTAATAAAACGCATAACATATTAAAGCGTCTTTGGCGTTTCCATGTTTTCTACAAAACAAAACCGGAAATCGAGGGGTTATGACGTCATTAGCAGGCGACACAATGACACTATAGACACGGTCCGTGTCACTAGTTAAAATTGCTTATTTTTCTGGATTTAAACATTCTTCGAAACATTTGGGATAATGTATGTACACAAGTCAGCAAAATATATAACACTGTTCTAGTGGTTTTTGGATATTTTAATAAAAAAATCTTACATATTGTGCCTTTACGTTTATCAAAATTATCAGTAAAGTGATTAGTTACAAAGATATATATTTCAAATAAATGCTGTTCCTTTGAACTTTCTATTTATCAAAGAATCCTGAAAATAATGTGTCCCGATTTTCACAAAAATATTAAGCAGCACAACTGTTTTTTTGTTTGTTTCTTGACCACCAAATCAGCATATTAGAATGATTTTTGAAGGACCATGTGACACTGAAGACTGGAGTAATAAAGCTGAAAATTCAGCTTTGCATCACAGGAATAAATTACATTTTAAAATATATTAAAATAGAAAATAGTTATTTTCAATTGCAGTAATTTTTCACAATATTGCTGTTTTTACAGTAGTTTTTATTCAAATAAATGTAGCCGTTAAGAGCATAAGACATTACTTTCAAAAACATTTTAAAAATCTTACTGACCTGAATAATTTAGTTATAATAATTTACCTCATAATTTAGTTAACCTTCTAATTTCCTAACTGCCGTGATGCATACAACAACCAATGTAATAAGTCAGATTCACTTCCAACTGTTTTTAATAAAACTGAACACAATTTTAGTGCCACTCACAGAACATTTTACTTTGAAAGTGCTATGAAACATAATTTTTCAGAAATGTTGCCACAAAAACATTTT